TTTTTAAAGGCTTAAAATACTGTTGAGAAGGAAGGTTACATTATATGGAACGAGGGCCAAATATAAGCCTTGATGGCCATCACTAGTCCACTGGATGACTTTGAAAAATATAAAATGTGAATTAAAAAAGAAAAAGTAAGATGTTGGACTATTTACTGTATTTTGTCATTAACAGTGGATAACATCATGAGAATCGATCATAGATTAATTTTGTTTTTAAATTATTAGTATAAAGAACAAAGTTTTTATAACTAATTTTCAGGATTGATGAATCGGTAACATCAGCAAAATGTTTTACACTTGGTCATGTGCAATAAAGGACATGTGAATGAATCCAGTGCATGTACGAGCAGATTAACACCAGCCTGGCCTGCAACAAACACTCTGAGATGTATCGTTGTATTATTGTTAGATATGCTGTTTCTACTACTTTACTTTCAAACCATCTGTCCTCTCTGTCCAAAACGTGAACATCGGCATCCTTGAAAGTGTGACCTTTGACCTTTAGGTGCAGATGTAGAGCTGAGTCTTGCCCTGTCGAGGTGGCGCTTCTATGTTTTGTCATGTGTTTATTAAGTGGCTGTTTGGTCTCGCCAGTGTAGAGGTGTGAGCACTCCTCGCTGTACTGCACAGCACACACTATGTTGACTGGCTTGTGTTTGGGAGTTTTGTCCTTGGGATGAACCATCTGTGAACGACCATCTCTGAACAGAGGAGGCGGCTCACAACACCGACTGTCCGCCACCTATAACCTAGTTTTGAGATCTTGATCACATCCTGCAACAGCTGATCTCAGTAGGTCACATGACAGGATGAGGCAAGATCTCACAATGGTGGTAAATGTGGTATTGGAACCATTTTACCGGTTGTAGGTTGACTGGTGGGTGTGATTGCAGACCTGCTTGATCAGGGATGAGTTCATTCCTTGTGTTAGAGTGCCATCTTGTGGTGGTTTTGAGAATTGTTGCGAATAGAGTTTGAGCAGTACATTTAAGAATGGTGCGCTTCTTTAATCGGAATGTAAAGAGGCCCGTTCCAATAATTTTTATTCCATATTTATGCTGTAATGATTTGTCCTTTTTCAGAGAATCCACATAATATTTAACTCATCTACTATCACACTACATATAAAATGAACGGCATCTCTTACACCACTTTGTGTTGGTCTTTCACGTGGAATTCCAATAAAATTGATTCATGTTTGTGGCTGTAATGTGACAAAATGTGGAAACGTTCAAGGGGGCGAATACTTTTGAAAGCATTTCAAGTGTACTTGGTACTTGACTACTCTTTGCTTCTTTGCCTCTCACTGGCAGGTCACGGTATATGTTAAAAACAGTATATGCTAAAAGTACACAGGGTGGGTCAAAATTTGACCACCTTTCACAGTTTTTTCCATCATGTTGGAGGCTTCGTAGCTTCATTAGTACAGATGATAAAATCACTTTAATCAAAAACTGTAGCCAAAACAGTTTTATAATCCCAATTCCAAAAACAGGATCCCGTGTAAAATGTAAAGAATCACATAATGCAATGATTTGCAAATCTCAGAAACACAACTTTTAATCACTGTAGAAAATAAAATCGTCAAATGTTTAAACTGGTAAAATGAACTGCTTTAAGAAAAAAATGTCTGCTTAATTTGTATTTAACTTATATAGAAAATTGATGTAGAAAACATCAGGCAGGATCTTTTAGGCTGTGTTTGGCCCTGTGTCATCACACAGACAAGTATCTGCCTTTCTCCCTAAAGCCTCTTAAGATCCTGCTGAAACAGGTCATAAGATTGGGAACGTAATCTCTGTGGTGACAAAAGAGCCTAGAGCAAGTGTGTAAGCAGCCTCATACAGTCAGGAGGAGTGAAATGTATCATTAAACTCACAGCTCAGCTCCTGGAAGCAGTCTCCTATAGACGAGCTGGACCTAGACTGGAGTTTCCCTCAGTGAGAGGCAGCGAGAGGGCATGAGTGTTTTCTCCGGTTCAGTACCTGTAAACTGAGGTTTCCTGTGGTGGATGAGACATGTCTTATTTCACTTTGAGCTGAACGTTTGTAAAAGGACCCAGAAATACTATTCAAGTGCACTGAAACCTGGCAGTTCATCAGTCACCATTACAGTGAGTCTCAAAGCTGAAAGAATCAGGTGTGTGTAGCTGATAAGCAGCTGATGATGTTTTGAAAACACCATAACAAAGAACAGATGTGCTGTCTGTGTTGGCAGATGTTCTTCTCCACTTTTAAACATGAAGTGATTAAAAAAAACTACAAAATGAGTAAATGCAGCAGATCTGACCACAGCTGGGAACATCAGAGGAGAAATTCAGGGTTGATACTGTGTGATGACATCACAAATGTATTCATAGTCATCATCCAATCCCTGTTTGGTCTGACTGTGATGGCTCTCTAGCAAGAAAATAGAGAAAATGTGTGTGAATATGTGAAGAGTTCAGACAGAGAGAGACGTTAGTCATATTGATTGATCAGTGAAGGATTCAGAGCGTTACCTCTGGCTCTGCATTGATATAATGACACCAGGAGGAGAGTGGAGAGGAGGTATGGAGAGAACACCACCACACGGAAAACCACTCTGATCAGAAGCTGGAGGGAGGAGTCAGGGCGTAGAGATGTGGTGGTGGGATTTTAAATCCCACCTGTTCAGGTGAATAGTGGAGCAGCCACCAGGCCCAGGCTCTTCCAGCAGCCACCAGGCCCAGGCTC